CGCCAGCCTAGAAGACCATTCCAATGTTCGCAGCCAGAAACTTGAAACAAGCCACGACCCACGTCATGCCCCGAACAACGACAAAGGCAAATCCGTCCACGACCCACGACGAAGGAGTGAACATCCGTCTCCATGCCCGGTCACTCCGTCTTCATGCCCGGTCTCTCTCCTCGCAAGTGCTTCCAAGCTTCTTTGCGTTGGCCCTCACGTCCAGTGCTTTGGGCTCAGGCTGGACAGCGGTCCCACCTGCGGTGGATCGTCGAGTTCTCACTTTGCCTCTTTGCGGGAGTTGTGGATGTGATTTTGGGGCAGCTTCATCGAAGGGAGGCGGGAATAGAACGGAGATCAATATGCTGACTCAATATATGTAGAGCCTATCAACCGTCATGCGATTCTTCTGGACATTTTCTTGAGCATCTCACATTTCCCCAAACCAGCAAAGAATTAACTTGACCCACTGTCAATCTGTAGACCAAAGGAAACAAATATGTTCTTGAGGATTCATCCCCCTCAGCACTTTTGGCTCAAACTCACGTCGCAAAGACTGCGTTTTGATGTTTTTGGCCAACCCATTGTAAAACATCTTAAAACCACCACTTGGGATTTTGATTTGAGCCTAAGAGTCTTATAGTCTTGAACAGGGGTTCGATATCAAAAGTGTTCTCACTGATTTTACAAACTCTTTCCGCGGAACTTCACAAAATGACCTGTGGGGTTTTGGCTTAAATGGGGCATCTGGTTCAATATAGTGATCTCTAGACTTGTTGAGGCTCGTCTGTGCTATATTATGTCCATCCCTTGTGTATTTGGGCCACTATAACGGAAGTAGCTGACAAGTGCTGACTGTCTGAATGGTCTGACGTCTGGTGACACGGGCCCATGTCCCTAAGCTAAAAACAATCTGCGCATGGCGTTGCAACCGAAGGGCCTCCATTGCTTTTGTGTCTCCCGCTGACGCTGCGATGTTACGCGGGAGGCGGATCATCAACCCTCAACGGCACCGTCCAAGCCACTGGAAACCTCTCCCGCAGGTGGTGGGCAGTCGTGGGGCACCGTTTCCAACGACACGAGTCGCTGGCGGACGCTGGGGCGCGGACAGAACCACTCAGACATCTCCTCACCACGCCGAGGTCGTGCGGGGCGCGCCGAACCCATGGCCCCGTCACCGAGGTCTGCACACAAGACCCCACCTGCATCGCAGTAGACTTAGAATCAGAATGACATATTAATAATCATATTAACGTATATGTACAGTATAGTATATGAGTGGCGGACAAGACTTCTTGGTGCACCCACTGCCAAAGGTATTTTAGGTTGCCCCCTACCGCCTCCAGTGTTTCGGAATGCAGGCAGTATATAAGCTCCTTTGATTGAAAGGGTATCGGTATAGGGTTGGCCCCTATTGGTTTTGCAATGGTTTGATCAATTCAGAAACAATTGAGGCGGCTCATGACTCAAGTACATTGTAATTACATACATATATATATATATATAAATGTACATACATTTACGTGCCGCAAACTGTAGTGACTGTAGTGTCAAACCTGATTAACCATCCCACAGTGGGGTACACCCAACAACTGAACCCCCTCCAATTAGAAAGGTGCTTTCTTGAAAAGAACGTGCCACACTCATCGCATCTCTTCCCTTTCTTCACCCCTCTTAGTTTTTTCTATTTGCGTGAGTTTGACGCCAACGTGTCGCCCACGAAAAATGGTGCGACAAGACTGACCGATGAGAGTGTCCGAAGGTGTCGCTCAAAACAGTGTCCTGCAAAGGAGTGGTCCCACAAGACAAGAGTGTGTGCCAAAAGAGTGCGTCCTTATTGCACAAACAGTGTCAAGCACAAATATGGCCCAAAGTTGTCCTACAACAGTGTCCTAGGTCCTAGAAGAGTGTCATCCCAGAATGTTGGTTGACAGGGTCTTTGACAAGTGTCAAATATGATGGTCCCTGCCTTAGACCCCGCTATCTCCCTATACCAGATGTGACATGCCACCCTGGAATAATTAAAGTAAAGGCCATCAAACATATAGTATACAGGTAACAGTGTCAGATCCCTTGAAGAGATTTGGTCTTTGAGATGCCTCCTTCTGGTGGATCCCTCCTTATGGTGGATGCTTCCCAACTGTTTCATCCGACCTTCCGGACGGTGTGGAACCCGCTCACATGGACTGTCGGAACCGCATGTTCTGGGCAGTCCATGTTGCAACATGTGAGGTAGTCCCGCTCTCGTCCAGATGGAAAGGTCCATCTCCGTCCTGAATGCTAGGGCAGTTCCCAGGGTGCCTGGGGAAGACGGTTCCCGTGGCAAGTCGGAAGTGGCACCCGTCGTGGTGAGTGGTTTTCCACTCATAGAAGGGCCACGGTACCGAAAAAACCCTGGATCTGCCCAAATGAAGTTCAATCAAACGGAAACTAATCATATAAACGCTCCTCAGCTATACCTCTTAAGAAGGTTGTCTGAGGTACTGCTACCTTGCTTCACTCCTGGACATGTAATAACTCAACATACTAAGAACAAAAGTAATAAGCAACACTAACAGTAATAAGTAACCTAACAGCAACCGTAATAATAAATATACTTCCTGTAACTATAAACATAGTTAAAAACAGAGTTGTCATTCACCCAAACATGCCGAGAGTTGATCTCTCAGCTCGCCACGTCTTCTCTTGGCGATAGCTGCTCCGATTAGATTTTTCGATCCTGGCTTCGTTTGATGCACCGACGCAGCGGCTTCCCCCCCAAGCTTTTGGAGGTCAAGGGTCTCCCTTGGCAGGGGCGTTGCCAGTGACTGCGGCAGAATTGCTGGGCACAAACCATTGGTCAAGAACGAGCCAAGCTCTTCTATACCTTTCTCGGGGCCACCCGCTTGAATCGCAATGGCCCGCTTGAATCGCTTGAATCATATCAGCAAAAACCCGACCGTTTGGGATCTTGACAGCGAACGGTGGCCACTTGTTGAATGCTGCAGGTCTAAAATCATGCCTTTGAAATTTGAAACCTTCAATATCACCTACTGTACAGTATATATATACATATATGATCCTTCCTCAGCAATCCTCTCCAACTATGCATCTCATACAATCCTTGTTTTGCAGCCCTCACCAACCAAAATTAAAAGACCTCCTCAGCGGTTGGCGCACCTGGCTGTTTGCCCCTTCGTCCCACCTGCGCGATATGGCGACTGGCGACATATCTGATCTCCGACCTCTGAGATCACTTCGCGTCACATTCAAATCCAATGAACTCCATTGAGGTGATTAAGAAAATTCATAGAGACCCCACATCCAAGGAATCCAAGGCTTTTGTCTATATACATATATTCAATATGACTATTCTATTATATTCACATATATAAATATACATTAATATATATATACCGTAGATTCACATGGATCACACATTGCTCAGGTCCGGGCAAACAAACAATGATCTGAACATCAGTGAAACAACATGTCTTGCAAAAGGTGTGCTTGAAAGTGAGGGAATCAGGGACATCATAACCCATCAACCTTAATCCAATTGCTCCTTAGATATCTTAGATCGTCTTAGACTTTAGATCTTCTTAGGCTGCAGCCTTACAGCCTCCCCCTTCACTGCTCGGAACGCAGCTCCCGGGCCTTGGGCTTTGGTCTGTGGCCCGCGGCGACGAACCCATGGTACTTCCACCCCTTCCATGGCATTTCCACCTTTGGTCGGCTGAGTCATCCTGAGTCGGCCACTGTGCACGGTTGGACGGGGGTGAGAGAAAAAACGGTTGGAACTCGATGGCGCAGTGAACCCCAAGTGATGTGATTAAAATGTATATACTCCAACACAAATTCCAATCCAAGGTCCATTTAGGGATCACTTAACTCTTATGGGCAAAACTCCGTACTACTGGACCACGGTTAAGAAACAATGAACACAACTGCCTCTGTCAAAATGCCAAAGAACGGCTCGTGTGGGTGGCTTGACACTTGACCCAAAGCTATCCTATATAACTATATATATAACTTCATGAGTTGGAAGGATGACTTCAAGAGATCTTGTAAGCGATCGCTCAAAATTACAAGCTGGAGTCAAACAATGAACTTGGAAACGGTAATGCCGTTGGTTCATTAGCTTCCAGCTACGAGCTTATCAACACGTTTTGATCCAATGCACGGAGGGATGTTCCTCCGGATTTTTGTGATCTGCTGCCTTCTGTGTGATCCTGTGCTTGCATGCTTGTTCTCTTGCTTGCGATCGCCATCCCAAATTCCAAACCCTGCAGCATGCCCCAAGAAAGCCCAGCAACCACCACTAGATCCCTGCACTCAACAATTCCATCGCGTGTTCAGATGATGTTGGTTGCTTACCTGTTTGTTGATGGTTTTTTGTTTTGTTTGTTTGTTTCGCTGCTCTTTCTGTCTCGGTCCTGGCCCGCCCGACCCCAGCCCGCTACCCGAGCCTGGACGACATCAGCCAATCAAATGCAATTGGGATACAAGTCTGCTGGTACATTTAATGAACCACGCACCCAAGACACTAGCTGGAGCCCGTATACGGCGGCAGGCCGGCAGGCCAGAAAGAGGAAGAGGTCAGGTAAGGTGAAACCGCGCGCGCACATGTCAACCACATGCGACACGAAAAAGAAGAACACGAACGATTCATTGCGCCATTGCGCACTGGACCAAGGCTCCCAAAAAGGGGATTTGCAGGCGAGGTCCCTCGGGCGGTTCGGGGGCCCCCATATACCCCCATCCCTCAACGAGCAAAACCAGTAGTAGCTTCTTGTTCCTAGTAACTTAGTAGTAAGGCCACAAGCCCCTAGTAGCGTCCTTGCTCCTAGTAGCGCTGCCAGGAGCCCCGAACGTAGCAAATAGCTAGGCAACGTGAACTTTTACCCCATACTCATCCATGCTGTGCTTCGTGAGGGCGATTCGCCTCCGCGCCGCCAGGTCGGTGGCGCGACTCTCCCCGACGTCCCGCAACCCGCCGTCCGGCGCCCAGTGGCCGTCCGGCCGTCCGGTGCCTGAAGAAGTCCACGAAGAGTTCACTCACCTGGTCCAAGTTCACCTGATCCATGTCGATGGCCACCGGCACCGGATGGTCGGCCTGGGAGGTGCGGATGGTCGGAGATGGCTGAGTGCTGCACGGAGACACCAGGTCCGAATTAGAGTGGATTGAGAGTTGATGGCACAAACCCCAAGAGGTGGTTTATATGGAACCCCATGTAAAGGACATCTTGTTGTCTGCGCCATCTACTCTGAAACCACTGTCAATCAGTGCCCGAATTAGAGTCACATGCAACGTGCCAAATTCTTCGGTTGGCCATTGCATTGGTCTGAGGGCTTTGAGAACATGTTGTACTCCAACATCTCCAAACCAACTGGAACTCCAAACCAACGGGGATCAAAGAATGTCACACAACCTATTGTAGGAAGGCTTCATCTGCATGAAGTTACATGAAGCATCGCCAACAAGATTTGCATACCAGGGGTCCCAAAGGGGTGGCGTTTGGTCCCTAAGTAAGTGGATCATGGGCACCCCTAACCTCCAAGTTCGGCACCCCGACATGTGACTCCTGGTAGATTTGCTGATTCGTCCTGTTGCACTCTTTCAATCACACGCGATCACACGTGCCACGATGTCCCACGATGTGCTCCTCTCCTGATCGCACCTCGCGGCAGAAGGCCGATAAACTCTGCCGCGAGCTGGGGTGCAAAGGGCCGTGAAGGCCTCGGCTCGCACCATCCCAAAACGAGGAAGGGTCTGATATGGCCTGATAAAAAGGCTCAGGCCTAAGGGCCCTAGCTCTAGCAAAGCCCAGTCTGTACAAAGGGAGGTGACTGGGAGTATTATAGGGGTTAGTGTGACTGGGAGGGTGGTTTAGACCCTCAATACCACCACATTCGACACATAAGAGTGACAAGCATGTCCGAGGAACAAACAAGGATAGTCTAAGAGAAATTGACAACTCGTCATACTGGAGGCACCAACTCTCACGATGTTTTCTGCTCAATCCGGCTGGAGCATTTGCCAAGCTGTGCTGGTGGAAGTGAGAAAAGTGTCCAGATCAAGTGTCCAAAAGCGTCCTTGCCTCGTATGACCCACCTGCACCAAGAGGCACCTCCAAAAGAAATACATATATACCTAGATCCACCTGGTGGACGAAAAAAGTGCCGCTTTCCATTGTGGCAAAATTTTTTGCCACCAGTGTGGAAAATTGCCGTCATCCAAAAAAAATGCCACCAGAAAACAAAAAGCCACATTCCATATATGGGGAAGGATGGTGCATGTCTCCTCCACGCCAGGATCAAGGATACTCAGTTAGATTCCCCAAGTAACACCAGGTAGAAACCAAACCCCCACACTCACCTCCACGATAACGTCATCCCAAATCCCTGACCGCTCTACGATTCCCATTGCCAAGTTTACCCAACTATGTATACCCAACTTCTGGTACTCAAGCAATCTCAGTGGTCCATGGTTGACAAATGTTGCCAAAATGATTACGGGAATTTACGCCGCCATTATGCGGATTTACGCCGCCATTTTTTCCGGCAAATTTCGCACATTTCACGCAACACGTATGAAACTCAAGAACGTAATTCCAAAGTTTGTGTTGAATGCTCATCACTCTCTTTCAGGGAGCTCTGAAGCACGAACAAAAAAATATGAAACACTGGTTGGTACTCTTCCGGAATGACCAGCCGTTTCGAAGCTAAAACATAGTTCAAGCACTGCACCAATTCCGCATCTTCCCAAAGGTTACCGGTCGGTATGTTGACAAGAAGTTCACACATTGGAGTGCGTTCATCAACCTTCGGGGTTTGACACAATTATACTCAACTATACCCAACAAAGGGCACAAATCACCCAACTATGCAACTTTGAGCCAACCACGAAAAACGTCGCCGCAAAATCAAGAAACGCCGCAGCTTTACAATTTACGCCGCCGTACGGTAAAAGGCAACTTTTTTGGAAAAGTGCCTCATACGAATTAGATCTAGGTATTGCTGCAAACCCAGCGCCGGTTTGCATCAAATCTTGGACAAACTGAGTGGCCACAATCGACTCAGTTACTGGATAAAACTGCATGTATACATAATTATATGTGTACAATTATTGTATGACGATATGTATTATCACACACACATATACATAGCCATGAGAGGCCACATCCATATGGACCCGGTCCGTCTCGATTCCTCCAGGTCTTTCGACTCCGGCAAGGCAAGCTGCCGAGCTGTTGCCAGTGATATGCCGCCATTAGACCAAAGGCATAGCCTGATGGATAGCCTGGTCACTGTGCCAGGCGAACCCAGCAGGAATTTCACGCTTGGACGTGGCTTTTAGGGCTTCTTTTTGGGGCTTTGACGTTTTTGGGGCCCGCTCAGAAACAGAGACGCACCGTATACGGTGTCTTTTGGACGCCATCCCAAAGAATCACCGGCTCTCAAGGGTGACGGTTTCGAGTGTCCAACGTCCGTGACAATGGAGGATGAAAACACCCTCCAGGTGTTCGATGTTCCAAGGAGGGATCTTGGGAGCGGCTCCCACTCAAGCCGACGTGTTTGGGACCATGAACGTTGGGAGTTTGGGCCCGTGCTGCGCCTTCTCAATCCTTTTCACGCCCTCGTGGTGTGGAAAGTAGGCGCAGGAAGCTGCACACTGTCCAAAAAACACAAAGGATAGCATCAAGTGTGACCGGTCGAAACTCACGACTTGAAGGTTCAAAGTTTTGAAGAAATAGGAGTTATATACTGTTGATGACCATGAAGTTCAAACATGTTGTCCCATGTTATGCAGCACCGTTTCACCCAGCCAATGAGAAGTATATACAGTAGACACTGTTCTATTCTTGTGGTTCGTGATTCAATCAATTTGTTCGACTCTTGCTTGTGATCTTGCTGTATCTGAAAACCCTGCACCTGTTCCAGAAAATCATGACTTGGCGCCATATCCCGCAGCCTTGGCGCTGACCGCACACGTGTCGCCTACGGCAGCAAAATCAAATCCCAACCCTCAATGAGGCTCCAAGGGATCTGTTCGAGTTCGAGTGAGTTGGATCCTGTCCCTTTTTGGAGGGAGTAACCACCTTTCTTGGCCAAAAGTGAATGATAATGGTAGATCAGGGCCTGTAGAACTACAGTGTTTCCAGTCAGTTGGTCCGATCACTATTGTGTTATTGGGGCAGAACTAGCCGTACATGCGGCCCCTAACAAATGCCGTCCTCTTTCATATTGTTCAGTGCTGGTTTCATACAACAATCAAGGCTCAATAACAAAATGAACCAAACAAATCAACAGAAACACACATAGAGACCAATCACAAAAGCAAATCTATAAACAAAGAAACCCCAAAAAATCAAAATTGAGGACCAAAAAAAGAAGGATCAACCATATATGAACAGTAGCGTGCACAGTGGCAACGTCAACAAAAGCAGGTGTGGAAAAAAACACACACACACACACACACGTTAAACACTATAGTACTATAGTAGCAGCAAACGCGATACTGAGAGTAGTATTGTAGTGATCGTGATGGCACCAACAGTAGTGGCAGCATGTAGCAGCAGGGTATCCGTAGTAGTTGAGAGTGAGTAGCGTTGGCCTCGTGGTCGTTGTCGTGGTCGTCGTCTCGTAGCAGTAGTTTGAAGTAGTAGAAGAAGAAAAAGAAGAAGAAGTCGTAGTAGTAGTAGTAGGAGGGGTTACGCAAGTAAGTAGGCACACCTTTTTCTAGCTAAGAAGCAAGACTGAAGCATTGGACATGGCTAAAGGTGGGCCCGCTGCCTTATGCTGCCTTGGCTTTGGCAAGGGGATCAAATACCCCTACCATACATCAGGTATATCCTCCACCTCTGTGGCGGTGTCACAGCAAGCAAGCGGAGTTGGTCTTGTTTTGGATGCTCCGAACCCCTTGGAGCTGCATTGGCACGATGACTCTCACACATGTTGATTGTCTGATACATTATTGCCTACAAAATCATGATAGCAGCTGAGTGTTGAAAACATCCGTTCAATGCAAATGTAGTTTGTCATATATATATATAGGTGAACATTTTGTTGTGTTGTGTTGTGCCGGAGGGTGGACTGAGGGGGAGGCCGCAGCGCATCTCCCTTACATTCTGGGTGCATCCAGGGCTTAAACTCGGATACTGGCACCGTGCAGAGCAACGTGTGACACGTCCATGTAGAACCTTTCAGACCGTTCATTGTCATTATGTCATGTAGTCTTGTTTGTCATTTATTACTGGTGTTCTTTCTTTCTGGTATTGTTTTTGTTGATTCCTATTTGTTGTGTTGATCCTTGTTTGTTTTTGCTTGATCCCTGTTCTTTTGGACGTCTCTCCCATCCAAAGCCGCCGGGAAAACCATTTGCCGTGTTCTTATAGCCATGCTTTTCTGCGTTTTCTTTGGGAACTGGCAATGAAATCCATATATCGCTGCCTAGCAAAGTTGCACAGCTGACCATGCAAAGGTATTCTGAACATGTGCCCCCTACTATTGCCTCTTCCATGTTGCAGTACCAATTTTTACCTTCAACCCTTGCTTGTCATAGTATGTGAGAACAAAAGGTACATGGGTATAGACGGTATAGAGTATAGATAGATCATGATAGATCTCAAAAGCAACGGATCGGGGCCTTTGAAGGACCATGTCGCTGGTGTTTCCCGCCTCTGGGCCCATGTCCGCAGCAATAAAAGCACCAATTGTTGAGAAGGTGAGCCTTAGTGTGAAAAACCACGGCCCTACGCCCCGGTCGAGTCGTTCTTCGTCCGACCCGACGGACTCGGGTAGAACTGCGGGGTGGGGGGGGGGCAGAAAGGATGTGACATGGAGGCGGTCATAAGGCACAAAATGGCACAAGCTAGCAACGTTCATCACTTCCCATGGGCGGTCTGTATGTGCCGAGTGGAAATCATGCAGCAGTGCCCCTGTACGCTCCCGGGACTGAGGTGAGCTCTGTCCTGGACATGTGTGGTGGGGGGCTTCTTAGCTCGTATTGCCTCTACGGACGTATTCAAAGGCTACTCACAGGCTACACTACGAACTGCAGCTTCAGGGAAGGGTATAGTTCAACAGTAGTTCCCCTCAAGACACCTGTGCCTCACGGTCAGTCGGCAGCCTACACTAAAGCAAGTTACAAAAACAATCAAGTATGACAAGATCTGATGGTCCGTATGCACTTAGCCATGTTTTTGTTGCTCGAACAGTGTTTCAATATGTTTCAATGCTTCCCGCACCTTCCATGCAGCGGCATGGCCGGAATGTTCAGCCCCTCGTGACCGGACCGTTTTGCGCGAAGTCCCAGTGTTCCTCGCGACACCGCGGGGCGGGGCCTTACGTCAGGAGGCGGGAAGTCGCACGCAGCAGGAGCTCACTCTTCCGCAACGTGGCGAGGCTCTGATCAAACGTCACCTCGACCGATGGGTCGACGAAGAAACCGGCCCAACGTTCGTCACGGCCGGAGACGCCGTCTCTTTTCCTCGGAGACGTCCCAAGAGCGGGATGTCAGGAGACCGAACGTGGCCGGAAAATGGACAAAACTTGTACTTGTAGAACTGGATTGGCACTCCTGACCAACCAGGAAGTGAGGAAGTGAATGAACATGCTCATTCCCCCAAACCAGGCCGGAGCTGCAATCTCCCGGGAGAAGGGGAGAAGTCAAAACACAAGTTAACGAGGATGCTGGAGCTCCTTCCGCGGCCCAAACGGGAATGACCAGGAGGATGGCAAGGATAGGATTTCCTGTTTAGCCAGCATGTCCTCCATGTTAGTTCCGGGTGACTGACCTTTGGAAGCTGTTTCCCAAGAACTGTCCAGCCAAAATGACACCCAGCTATCTCCATCCAATGTCTGCAAAACGACGTCCTTTGGAGACAAAAAACGGTGTCCTCGTGACTCTTGAGGAGAGTAGCTCTTCTAGTTGTAGCTGAGTGTTTATCATTGTTGTGCAGGTCCAATGGCCCCAAATCATGAACAGCACCTTTCAAAAAGACACACAACTTGTGCAGTGCTGAGTTTGAGGATTCAACCAGGCACACCTTATATATATATATATACAGTATACTGTATATGAGAAAAGCCTATGTGATTGACATTGCTGAAAATCGCACGTGTAATTTGTAATCTTGACTTTACTCCAGTGTCTATTAGCTGTCCACTGTGGTAGTGACAGTCATCCACTGGACCACATGTTTGATATTAAAATGTTCATTTCGATGGCTACGCCCACACCAAAGTAAGCTTGCATGATGCCAAATGCTTAGACAACTGCTGCTGCTGCTACTACTACTACTCCTCCTCCTGCTGCTACTGCTATTTTGATGCAAGAAATTGTGCACATGGAGCAACCCAACGAAGGATCTTGTGAGATTGGTTCTTTAACTGCATCAACCGGCTCATGTGTTTGATTGTACTTGTATATCTGTTGTACCACTGACCAAGTCCCCAATGAAGTCATCTCCGCCAGCCCTCACCTCAACCGCCACATTGAGTCCAGCCTTCCTGGTGGACACACTGGGCGATTTAGTCGGTGCATGCGGTGACGAAACATGTGCAGTGAGGGTAGGGGTGGGGTTCCCATTCTCCACCTAAGCGTCTAGGGTTTCCCATTCGCCACCTCACGACCTGCTCCTGAATACATGTATATATTCAAGAAATGGTGCATCCATGGGCATCCCCTCTTGCTGTCCAATCACATCAGCTTTTTTCAGGCATCGCGACCCACATCGGCGACCCACGGTCTTCCGAAAACTCCAAGGCCACAGGCTTAAACCGAAGCTGTAACCGCCCCTTGATACAAGCATCATGATCTTGACTCACAAGGCTAGCAAGATGAGGGTGCGCTTTCGGTCAAACAAGTACCAATCTGGGAAAAAAACTGGAACATTCATATCCTGAAACAGGGAAGGAATCCCAGACACTCCATATATGGTATATTTACCTACATTGGGGTGGTTTGAGGGGTCAATGTAGGCATATATGACAGATATGGAGTGTCTGGGAATTGGACACAATTAGCAGATTGCGGAACCGAACAAGCACAACCTCCCCGCATATGGCAGGTCGCAACATCCCACTTGCCTTCAAGCACACCAGCCCCACCAGCACCAACCGCACGCAAGCTTTTGAGCTTCTGAAGTTAAACTGTCAGCATGTTGGGCATGTCTGAAAACTGCAGCTGGCAAAAAGGGAATGAACGTTTGGCCAAAAAAGGGGTCACTCCACGAGGCCGCTGAAACCCCGTGAATCACCGGTCTGGCTGCGGGTGTGCACGGATGGCATAACCTGTTTTCCCGCATGGATGTGTAGTCTTCACCGGTCGTATGTGTTGTTTTCTCGACAAACGGAGTGTAGTCTTCACCGCGCCTCAAACGGAGTGTAGGCCGACGGGCATCGAGTGCCATCTCTTCGACTGTCCAGTCAATGTCCTCACAGAACTATAGACACACAACGGAAGTCTCGTCGAGCGGAGCATTGAACTGAGTTTGCAAGCCCAGCAAATTAAACAGGATGGCTTTTGAGTAGCAAGTGCTTGCAAAGGAAGGTGATTGTCTTTGTAGTTGTTTTGAAATTCCATCCAAAAAATGGTCCTAGTCCTGGACCCTCTGGCCATAGGGACCTTGCAAACCTGTTCAATCGAATCGAACCCCATACAAAGTGCCCCAGCTCCGCGGCACGAAGTCGGACGCATCGACCGCCGAACTCTGGAGCACAACGCCCCACTCGGTTCGTGGCGTTTGGGCGAGCGTCTGATTCCAAATGCCTCCGCATCTGCAACAACGCGTTGCTTGAATCTCGCCTGCGAACGGGCGTTTCGTGAATACGGGCGTTGGCAGGTCAGCGAACGGTCATACCAGATCATATCAGGACCTGGCTGGTTTCCTGGTGTCAAGCGCCTGATGCATAATATCACATGATGATGCATGCAGGATCATGGAGGGCAAAATGCTCGTGATTCCACAATGCTCCACATGCACTTTCCCACCCGGGTCTTGTTCTTTATTGTTCGTCTCGGGCTAACCATCAACATGCATCAACTTCCAACCCTCACATCACATCTGAGCTGCAGGACATCCACGAGCTTCGGTTTCAAATCCGGCAGGTTCCGCTGTTTCGGGAAATTCCAACCCAGTTTCTGCACGGAATGCCCTGCACAGATGCGATAGGTCACGCAGCCGAACACAAGGTGGGCCCTTCCCAGACACTCCATGTCTGTCATATATGACTACATTGACCCCTCAAACCACCCCAATGTAGGTAAATATACCATACATGGAGTGTCTGGGCTTGTTGCTTGGAGGTGGGGACCCCGCACTGGAACTGACTTTGGGTGAGCTTTGAGGATCCTAGATCTCACCGCCGATCCGCGAAGGCACCTGGATGACTCCAGCGGCTGCTCGCTGACACCCGGCATCTCCTGAAGACCAAGCATGCATGCTACCCGCTGACTACAGGCAAAAGCAAAGGCAAGGGTCCCAAGGCAGGATCCCTGTGCATATACAATTCAAATGGGGGTTGCAGCCATATCTACATCCATTCGTGTGGGCAATGAGCTAGCCTCCCCCTTCCCAAATGGTCTTGTGGATGCCTCCATCAACAGACGAAGTAGTCCTCAGTGAGCCTGCCTGAAGATGTCCTACTCCAACCCTCCGGTCGGTGCATGTCTTCGTCCCGACCACCGCCCTCCGCACTCCAAGACCAGGTCGATGTCCGCGTCGGGCAAAGCAGCCTGTGCAGGTACTCAAATCCGAGCGGCCCATTGAAGAACTAGGCGCTTGTTTGGAGTAGAATGGCCGGAACAGTCAGGTAATTAATGTTCACATAAACCTGGCAAGATTGACCGGTGGCTTGTTCTGCTTGCTTCTTTTCAAGAGTACTTTTTTTCTATTTCCAAATTATGCAATGACTTGCGACGACTGTATATATATATATACATATGCAACGTTTGTGGTAGCTCACGTGGTCTTTAAGAAACCTTGCTCTGAGGCCCTGCCCAGCCGCCAGGTGCTGGCAACAAACATCTTTTAGCTGGTTTGGACTTCTTGGTAGGCCTTGTGCATACTTGAGGTGAAAGAAAAACATATCATATCGCTCTATCATTGTTTGTGGCAGGACTTGAGCTTTTGAACCAAAGGGCAGTTTCAATCCAAAGAACACTTAAAATTAGAGATGCCAGCTGGCACGCCGTCCCTGCGAAAGAGGCTGCTCCATCTGCCAACCTGTCTCCCTTCCGTCCGCGCCCCGTAGAGGCGAGAGCCCACCAAATGCGCCGCCACTGGCGAGCTCAGCAAGGCCAAGGAGGCCAAGTGCTGCACTTGCGCCCTGGAGCGGCGTCGAACAGCAAAATTATAATATAATATTGATTGTTTACTGAAGGCTCCGGTTAATTGTGTCATGTTGTGTCCATTTATTAAATGATTACCGTTTGGTTTTACAGGTATTCGGCTAGACCCGAGATCCCACGATGCAGATTTGTACAGTCGGGTTCCGTGCGACATGACCGTCACCTGGTGTTCCTTTCGATGTCATGCAAATTGCACCCACTTTCTCGGCAGGTTCTAATCTAACCTTCCAGCACGTTCGCCCTAGGGCCCCCCCCCCCCAACCTCACATCCTCCACTGGGACAGCAGCTAGGTCGGGCCCTCCCAGCAAGTCCAAGAGCAGCTCCTCAACCACGCGGAGGGTCTGCGCAGTTCACTCGGGCCGGAGGGTCTGCGCGGAGGGTCTGCTCCGAACCAATGCGTCTACCGACGCTGTTCACCCCATCGCAGTGAGGTTGGAGGGTGGGCTCCAAACTCACCAAGTCAACGTGACATGTCATGTCCGAGTCATCTCTAAGCAAACCATGTAAGACAACAAATAACTCTGGCCTGCAACAAATAACAACTACAACAAATACCTAATATATAGCCTATAGAATCCTCCTCGGTCCTGGGGAATTGGCTTGAGCTCTGACCGCCGCTGCATGTCCCAACCTGCGTCTAGCTGAGACAGGGCGGAAAGAAAACTCCAGGGTGGAATACTCAGCCACTAAGGATCACAAACATACACGCATTGTTGGCATAATGGCATCTAAAATATATGGACTTTGGACGTCTAAACCCTTACAGGGTATCTTTCTCAAAAACGCTTGTATACAACTCGATAGCAATCATGAATTACAACATGTTGCGAAGAATGGTCTTGGAAGCCTCTACTAGCGGTTACTAGCGTCAGCTAAGAGCTCACACAATTATATATATGATTGAAGGATCGCAACATCTGTTTCAAACATCAAACTCTTCTGCACGGAATGGTCCCGATGGTCTAGATTGAAACATCAACATCTGCAACAAGTGCTGAGCACCAAATCACCAGGAAAGTGGCACAAAGAAGGGTGGACCAAGTTCCCGCGGCGGAAACCCGCGCCTCTCGGCTCCAAAGTCGAGTCAGCGCCTCACGAGCCCAGAGTGAACGGGGGCGTGCAGTGCATGAGTGCATGAAAAAAGCATTGACCTCAATCTGACCCATCACAACCAGCTTGCGCACAAATCCCGCTCCTCATGATTCATGTGGGGTATGTGAGGTGTCACCCATGCCTGTCTACAGGTATACAATATACATCACATCGATATGTGCAAGTGACTGAGTACCCTACTAACAATTCAATCGCAAAACCGAGAAGGCAAGTCAACCATGTCGCCCCTCAATCTGACCCACCCAAAAGCGATTCAAGTGAAGTAACTGACAAGCAAATGAATGATCATTTATTTGAGTTATACCATGTAACATCGTTCATGTAACACACACCTTTCCAAAACAGAACAACACGCACGCGTGTGCGTTTAAGTTTAAATGCGTACAATATATATATATATTTATATGGTATTTTAATATACTATATATACATATATATTAAACAAACATATTTAAAAGTGCACACAGTACACATGAAAAAAGGATGTGCAGTAACCCTCCAAAACACCGTTCCGCGACACGTTTCGCTCCAGTTCCGCGCGTGTTGTACCCCTGCGTGCCCGAAAGCCGCTCTTCCAGTTGCGCGGCAGCGTGGTCCAAGCCCTGGTGAGTCCTTGAGGTCAGGCTATGCTGGGGGAGCGGCTGACCATGGGTGATGTTCGGCGATCTAAGAAAACGAAACACACTTGACAGAATCAAAAAGAGCTCCTGGTATCATCTCCTGGTGGGAACATGTGGGAACCATCAAACGAATACCTTGGGTATCATTGGCGTTCCTGAACGATCGAAGCCGGAGGATCCAATCATGACCCACCACGATCGACCGTGTGGTGTGTGTGGTCGGACTGCCGGTCTTTGGATGCCCAATTGAAGGTCAAGCAATGCTGAGCATAGCTGTGTTGGTTGCGGGGAAAGACCCTTCTTGACCGGTCACTCCGTGTAATGCAGGTCAAGGACCTGTGACACGGTCGACCTGTGTTGGTTGAGTGCCTCAGAACAACCGGGTGCCGGGTGCCCAAAACAAATCCAATGGATACTCCCACGGTCCCACGGTCCGAGTGTGTGTCGAAAACAGCCCGTTGGACCCGTCATGACCCGTCTGATCGCCCAAGGGACAACTCCAAATGCGAAGGCACTGCTTGTCTTCTCCACTCCTGCTTGAGGCGACCGCCAGTTGAGCGGAAGATGCTTTCCAGGGAGGGGAGGTTCCTGGCTGTTCCTGGCTACCTCCTTGCACAAAGTACAGTAAAGGGAAGAATGAACGAAATCACTGTGTGGCAGGGATGACGTCACTGTGTGGCCTGCATGAAATCGGGAGAAGTGGCAGATTTCGTGGCACCGGAGGGGGGTTGGGGCTTAGGGCGCAGCGCCAGCACTAGCCAAAAAGCAGTTGAAGCGTTTAAAACCATAGGACCAGGAAGCTGGCCAACAGTAGCCAAAAGAAGCCACCAAAAGCCAGCAGCCAATAGAGGTTACAAGAAGCCACTGATGGCCGCAAGCTAAGCGAACCAATTTAAACAACAACTACATTCTGCCGAAGCCTGGGGTCAGTATCCCCCCAAAAAAACGGCAACCAACACGTCCAAAAATATAATGCAGAATAAGAGCTGGCCTGCTAGAATATACCGTACCCTCTGAAGCAAAACAAATTACAGTAGAGTAAAATCACACAAATTATCCAACCACATCGTCACTCGCTCAGTAGAACACATGCCTGAACCCAGCGCAAAGAACAACCAAGGCTGGCCAAATGTGCTTGAAGGAGGCCATGCCAAATCTTCACGACTTAGACTTGAACAAATTATAGAGACAGAAAACCCCGTCCAATCTGTATGGCCCATGGCGGTTCTCATCGTCTCGCATGATTCATCCATCCGATCGCCCGGTCATGGCACCTTGGTCTGTGCTGCGTTGACGCCCTGGCGCAACAGCTGCAAGGCATGAAGTGCTTTGGGAAGCAGCTCCGCGGTGTCGAACGCACGCCTCAGCGGTGTCGAACGTGTGTTTGGCGGCTGTGGAGTCCAATGACAAGTGGGTGTGAAAAACAAAGTTCTGCGTGTTGTCCGCCTCCATCATAGTCTTACTCAGCTATAGGGGACAGTATGTCATGTTGAAGTCACAAGGCTTGAGTGCACCAAATTTACCCGGAGATTCCACTACAGACTTAGAGATTTGATTCTCGGATTCAAAAGGCTTCCTGGAGTCTCAAAGCAAATCCAAATGATCTACAGTGGTTTCAGAGTAGATGGCACAATCACCATGAGGTGATGTGGACCCCCATCTAGAAGACATGTATAGGGGTGCCAGTGTCATCTACTCTGCAACCCCTTCGATGTTTCGGATCCGGGCCATCCCACCGGAGGGACGGTGACCCCCAATTCGGGTCGGTTTGGTGTGGAAAACCGAGGCGTCGAAGCGGTCACCGAGGGCTCCTTACTTCGAGGGTCGAAGTGCAGGAGATTCGAAGGGTCGATTCTGGGCAGAAAGATCTCCCGGAGATTCTTGGGAGATCGTTGGGTTTATCGAAGAATTGGCCCTTTTTTCGCACTTCCTCGACATGAAACAGAAGGCTGGTCGGACATCGACACGGACCTTCACAAGCCCCCAAACCATGCGGAAGATTGTGGAATCATGATGCATCATGGTGTACAGGGGCTTGTACAAAAGAGCCTGTGCGAGATCTTAACCGAAACACTCAAACTTCCAAATATAATCAAATATGTGACTGTCAAACCTGTGTGCGACCGAGTTCGGGCTTTTCTGTCTAAGGCAATCGGCTGAATGTGTCTGATTCCCTAACCCCTTCAGTTAAGTAGAAGCACCAAAAAAGTTCACCATCTCATTCATATTTAAAGTTTAAAGATCCCCCATCACTGCAACTGAGGAGGTAGGTTCCAGTCACTTTGGACTGAAGAAGTCAAGCAGTCAAGATTGCCCACGAATAACTTTTTCATGAATGTTTGTCGATACTTTCCTTGGCCCGCCTTTGGCTGAGCCGAGGCGAAAGCACAGAGAACAAAGATCATCGCCCAAGAAAGGTCTCTGAATGTCTCTGACGGGGCAAAATTGGCCGCATACAATGGCCAAGATCTGATCATGTCTTCTGCCAGCTTCATGTCATACATAGTTCAGCTGGCTGAAACCCCAAACAAAGCCCATGTTTGACTCCTGGGGCACAAGTCACGTCGGTCCCCCACCTGAACCCCAAGTCCTCTGACATTAGGCCCACTTCCTAGTCAATCAACCAAATCAAACAAACAGTATGTGTGTATACTGTATGCATCCATGTATATATGTGTGCGTGCATGTGCAGTTATGATTACGATCCTTTCGCTGGTGTCAATCCAGTTGCCTTGACAAAGTCCTTGTTGCAAGGTCGGCGTCTTGGACTAACGTTCTTTTGCTGTCAGGTTAGGTGTAATTAGACCAACAACGTATGAAAGCAAGTACACCTTGGCTGGCCAGCCCTGCTGGCAGGCTGGTAACCCCCCTTGGGTTCTTCTAAGACACGAGCATGAAGTGCGTCCGTGCAAAAATCCAGCTCCAAGAGGATGTGACCGATCGGCGATGGCCAACTGATTGAAGCGGAGCCCCTTTCGTCCCTTTCTATTACTATCTCTCTATCGATTTGGGGGTCGGTGTTCAGCGTCTGTAGGAACTGAGGTGACGAACCGAAGGCCACGGGCTGCCACTGACTGGTGATCCAAGTTCGGATCCGAAGAGATTAAGTTTTCGTACGGCGGTGCCCGAGATGGAGATGTCTGAGATGTTATCGAAAACATGAGCTGAGCGGCCAGGTCACCTGGTACAAAAGCCCTCCTGAAGATATGGGTGGTTGCAAACCCCACTCAACCATGCAGTTGGGGGGTTTGGGTCGCATCTCAGCTGCAGTCCATGAATCGCAGAAATCAAACAAATTGAACGATGTCCAAACGTAGCGAAGCACAGCAAAGCATAGCATACAAATCTAGCTCCGCCTATCCTCCCCATAAAACACCCGACATCTCGCCGACTGTCCCGGAACTGACGGAAGCGTGCTGTCCTTGGAGTAGTCTCCACAGCGAGATCGAGAGCAAGGCAGGCAGTGAGAAGCAGTGCATAGAAAGTTCTTGAAATATGGCGTCCTGCAAGCCGGACTCTGGGTACCGTGCGGTGTTTTTTCGCGCTCGTGATAAGCACAAGAACAGGTAGGAAAAATAGATTGAGCCATCTGGGAGCAATTAAATATGCAGTCCAGTATATATATATATTACATTGTGTATACCCTCACCGCAACAATCATGGAAGTGGACAACTCCCTCTTGGTCAAGGGGCCACTGTCCACTTCCATGATTGTTTCAGGGAGTGTGTATAAATATATGATATGCGATCTACCTCTGACTTTGAACACTCAACCTGGATAGACTGAATACCAAACAAAGGATAGAGATTCGGACCTTTGACCAGTCTAAGCAGTAGACGATGATCGAAACCACACCGAATCTTGGAGAGGTCGGTCAGGTATATATGTAGGCTCACCAATCATGGGACATCATTAAACATCAAGTGAAGTTAGTTCTGTCATTCATGGACACCACTATGCTTGCCCGGCATGCCCCATCTTCTTGGCTTGGGCTCCACAAGCTGCCCTTGTTCTCAAATGTCAGGACACCGTTCAACTGCTTACTTCGCTTGTTTGACATCCCCTAGCCTCATCCCTGGCCTCAACATCGGCAAATGATCGACTGCAGTGAGACGACGTGAAGTGGCCACTCAGCACAACACATTCACATCCAATCTGATTCCTTTGGACTTCGGGTTGCATCCCACTGCATCATTTCTCGTCAGGTCCCACGAGCTGAGTGCAAAGTCTCCTGTTTTTGCTGGTGATGTGCCAAATGAACGCCTCAAGACAAAACCCCGTGCAACAGCCTAACCCACATGCAAAAGCTGAAGAAACATGTCGTGATATATCAGCTTCCAATGAAGGCCAAGTGAAAGCAAACTTCCACAAATGGGTGCGCATGAAACAAGGAAGACACCCTTCGCCCTGGCTGGGAGGGGTCGTTGCCTGAGAGGTCTCCCTATTTTAACACTCCCACATAATTAGTGATCAATGATCAATGACTTTTCTGGCACCTTGACGCGAACTAGCTGTGACTAGCTGCCATCCAAGGTTCATTGTGAAGCTCTGTCGTCTCTGGAACAGCGAATGCAGTCACATCCTTGACGTAGGAATGGCCCCTGAATTGCAAAATGCCAAATCTGACAAAAACACCAGGCTGGTTACCTTTGGACAGCATATGATATAATGTTTCCCTCACTGTGCATGATACCACCGCCTACGGCCTAGGTTTCAGCATCTCCGATCGACACCGTCAAATGATGAGTCAAATAGGACAAACCGGAAATTCACATGGAAGAGCGACATCAGCCAAAGCTGTGGACATGTCCATGGCATCCTGATGGGTCTCATTGTGATCAATTCATTTACAGCTATCGTGACTGCACGGCACTGAGCCAAAAAGAGTTCTCAATGACCTCCATTAATCAACCGTTTTCTTCTTGTTTCTAATAGCTTCTTGTTACTAGTAGTATGGCCAGGAGCCCCTAGTAGCTTCTTGTTACTAGTAGTAAGGCCAGGAGCCCCTAGTAGCGTCCTTGGCCTTTGCCACATTTTGCTTGAGCCCTTTTCAATCTTTGAAGATTCTGCACCCAAGGGTCTGGATACTGATGATGTAGGACCCAAGTCCTCTCAAATAGCATCTTCGGTGAAAAATAGCCTTTCACAGAGGCGTGTTTTGGCACTCAAATGTGTGTTCCCTTTTTGTGTGTGCTATGTAGAAACAACACGAACCCTGCAAACGTCTTCAATGTGCAAAAAGCTTGTTTAAACCATCACTTAAAGGTGAATCTGTGGTAAATTGTGCACACTGGATTCAGTGTAGATAGCACAACCCCCTAAAGGTGGTCTATATGGATCCCCATCTAAAAGACATCCTTGGGTTTGTGCCATCATCTACTCTGAAACCAGTGTAGAACTGTGTAGAACTGGAACATGTCATTCCACCCACGTCCTATGGCCGAATGAGCTTGGACGTTCTCCGCCACACGGTAGCTCACGAAGCGAGTTCCAAAGTTGGAGCCTGGCTCGCTCGGAGAAATGATTGCACGATCCGGCATAAGGGAATAGTAGGTCCGTTGGTCCGTTTTCCAAGTGCAACTTATTATATGATACATATATATATACACACATACGAATTAGTATCTCACTATATAGAAATGATTATTTATTTGTGATATATATATATATATATCGATGTATCAATTCACCCCCCACAACCTCCCCTGACATATACCGACAAGGCCCCTCCACAACCCTTCACAAAAACTTTGCCAACAGGCCGTGATCTGGCTCACAACGCGCCTGGAAGTCGAAAGTAGGGGTCGATGTAGGGAAGCTCGTTCTGGTAAAAGAATACTTTTCCTGACTACTTGTGTGTTGTGAAAATGCTCTTGGATCCTGGATCCTGCACATGAATTCGAATGCAGAATCACAAAACTATATGCCCCCTTGATTTTGATGATTGTTGTGGCTATGTCACGGAGCACTTATACGTTGATGGAACCATGTGAAATCTCTTGAACTGGTCTAATTTCCAGCTTTAGCTGCCCTCCTCGCCATACCACACCACTTGGTCTTCCAAAGTGTGCTCCGCCTGGAGTCCATAGATGATCCTGAGCCGGTGATGTTGAAACAACTGATACGGAGTGCTTCAACTTCGTTACATAAAACTTTGTTCCGCGACAAAATCCTGCGCCATGTATGCACAAATACCCACACATTAGTTGTTTGATGGATTTCAGATTTGAGTTCGGGGTGATGTCCATAGAACTGAGGAACTACGACACAGGATGTGAAAAACTCTGCTCTGTCTGTTCACGTGAGCAACCTTTCCACGCTTAGGAGATTGCAGCTGAATTGACTTGAGTCATCTCAAAGC